TTGTGTCCCCTGGAAAATACTAGTTGGCTCCAAAATAGAAAACAGTGCTCAACATATCTAAAATAGAAGCAGAATAAAAGTATTAGGAAAGAAGGTAATATTTACAAATTTAGAAATTATTTTTTGTCTCTGATGGGTGTTCCTTTCAAATAACCATGGGGATTTGGCTCAGCTGGGGTTATCTATTTGCAAAAAATAATGATGAAAAGAAAACCAGCTGGGAAAATGGAAGATTCAATACAAGATAATTTGGTGACATTCAGACAATTGAAACTCATCAAAAAGAACCTCTAAAAATGGAATTGGCATTTACTTCATATCTTAAATTTCTCACTGTTGAACAATTTACAGTGTAAACTATTTTTACAGGTAATTTAAAAAACTAATTGTACTAAGAAAACAGACCCATGCGCAATTGGGTGTGTGAGAGAGGGGTCACCGTGCATTAAACAAAGTATATTTCTGAGATATAAACTGTAAGAGACTGCTGTAGTTTGAAAGCTTATGTCCTCCCAAAATTCATATTGAAACTTAATCACAATTGTGATCTTGTTAGCACACGAGGCCTTGGTGAGATGATTAGGTCATAAGGCAGAACCTTCATGAATGGGGTTTTCCCCTTAAAATAGAGGCTGCTAGCCGGGCTCGGTGGCTCAGCCTGTAATCCCGCGCCTTTGGGAGGCTGAGGTGAGTGGATTGCCTGAGCCCGCGGGTTCGAGACCCGCCTGGGCAGCGAGACCTCATCTCTACAATAAATCAAAAAATCAGCCAGACGTGGTAGCGCGTGCCTGTAATTCCGGCTGAGGCGGAAGTATCGCCGGAGCCCAGCAGGTCGAGACTGCGGTGGCCGGGAGTGGCCACTGCACTCCAGTCTGGGTGACAGAGTGAGACTCCAACTCAAAAAAAAAAAAAAAAAAAAGCAGAGCATGGTGGTTTATGCTTGCAACCCCAGCGCTTTGGGAGGAGGAGGCAAAGGGGATTGCCTGAGCCCAGGAGTTCAAGACCAGCCCACGCAATTCTTATCTCTACAATAAATTTTAAAATATTAGCTGCGTGTGGTGGTGCATGCTTGTAGTTCCAGTTACTTGGAAAGCTGAGGCAAAAGGATTGCCTGAGCCCAGCAGGTCGAGGCTGCAGTAGCTGTGAGCATGCCACTATACTCCAGCCTGGGTGACAGAGTGAGATTCTAACTTATAAAAAAAGAGGGGAGGTAATTCACAAAATGAGTAGTGCTGAAACTTGTAAAAAGTCACAACTCATAATCTCAGTACAAGGGAAATTAGAGAGAAAGGTTGGAAAACAGACATTGGAATAAATAGCACAGCAGTCGGGAACTACTTAGTTCCACACATTTTTGTAGCCTGCAATGTAACTACATTGCAGCACAGTTCATTAATTGATTGTCAAAATAAGGTACCTTCGTTATTTAGAGAAACCTATATTATTTTGAGAATATGCTTTTTTTGAAGGATTCTTAAAATAGGTACCCAGATTTTAGCTATTTCTTGCAATTTCATGATCTGTTATCAGGAAATGCATGGGATTGTCATTTCTCTTTGCAAATTTGTGACAGTTACCCTTTGATTAAGTTTTCATGTTGTGTAGCTTCTAATTTGCAAGAGATCTTTTGATTTACTTAGAAGATACAGAGTCTTAACTTTTTATGTGTCTAGAATCTATGGCTTGGGATTTTTATCCTCCCCCTCTGAAAACTTCTATAAGATTTCTTTATCTTTAGAGTGAAGATACTTTACTAGGATGTATTCTGATATGTCATTTCTCATTACTTTGGATATATGGTGGATAAATTTTTTCAGACTGAAGATTTAAGTCTTTCAACTGTGGGAAATATTCCGTTTATTTATTTTTTTTCTCTCCTTGTGGTGTAAATCTCTACTGTTAGGCAAAGCTTGACTATTTTCTCTATATTTCTTCAGTTTTTTAATACTTATGGTTTTGTCTCTTACCTTTCTTGACCTCTGTCTTCTGAAATTCTAAATTGGTCTTCAGCCATGTTATTTATTTGTCATTTCAAATATTGTTATTTATTACCAGCACAGGGTAAGGTTGTTGGATTTACTTTTTTATTTTGACAATTGTGATTTTTAACTTCTAAGAATTATTTTTGTTTTTTGATTAGTTTTAGTATTTTATGAATGTGTTGTCTTTTCAAATCTCTTTGACTATCTGTTTAAATTTCCTTTCTGTTTTTTGCGTTAGTTTGATTTTTCTGGATTAGTTCTCCTTGTTCATCCTATTCTTTCTAGTTTTTACTCTTATGTCTGGAAATATTTGGTGGTCTTTGATTGTCTAGTCATATTGAGAAGTAGTGGACTGTTTGCTTAAAAAAAGATAGTGACTAGGCTTGGTGGCTTAGCCTGTAATCCCAGCACTTTGGTAGGCCGATGCTGCCTGAACCTGCAGATTCGAGAACAGCCCGGGCAACTTGGCGAGACCTTGTCTCTGTAATAAAATAAAAAATAGCTGGGCGTGGTAGCATGCGTGTGTAGTTCCGGTTGAGGTGGAAGGATCACCGGAGCCCAGCAGGTCGACACTAGGATGGCCATGAGTGTGCCACTTCACTGCATTCCAGCCTGGTCTAAGGGGTGAGACTCCAACTCAAAAAAAAAAAATACAGTTTGCATAGGTTTCTTAAATCTGTTTTTAAACTGACCTGGTCTCTCTGCTTGAGGCTGGATCTTTTCATACTTGAGATTCCCATGACAGGGACGGAGGACAGATCAGGTAATCTGGGGAACACTACACTAGCCAAAATTAGGACGCATTCCCTTAAGAGTAGCATAACAATAAAAATTTTGAGATATAATAATATGTGCATTAAATAACAAGATCTAGCAGCAGGTCTAATAACTATTGCAATTTCAAAGAATGATAAATATTGACAGTATCTTGAGGTACTTGTGACAATTCTAGAGTAATATGAAAAAGATGCATTATTTCTTTTGGAAATGAAGTCACATTAATCCACTACTGTGGATGGTTTTCTACATTTACATGGTGGAAATACTAAATTTCAACTTAAAGATGTTTTTTTTTTTTAATTTAAGTTGGTATACTTCCTATATTCTTTCTTCAGGCTCCTGCTTATAAAGCATTCTAAGAACTTTATAGATTAAAAAAATCCATAAATTTCCCTGTTCAGCAAAGAAAGTAACTTCCTATCTACTCTTGCCCAGCCTCTGTAGCTGCATTTCCTTGCCAGCCTGAGACCAATCAGGCCATCCCTACCTGCTCTTTTATACTTCTTTATCCTTACAAACTTCCCTTCCTTTGGCATTGGTCTTCAATTCATCCCTATGTTGTTCGAGCTATGTCTGTCCTCCTCTAACCTATTCTAGGAGGAGGCACTCCCAGCCTTCTTTTATCCCTCAACCTGATTCAGATTCCTAGAATATATTATTATTGCATGTTTACTAACTTGTACTTTACAAGTTGGCTCTTAAGAGTAGATACTTTGCTTTGTTCATCTTTGTCAGTATCAAAAACCTACCACATGGGAGGCATACACACAAACAATGGGTACATGGCACGTGCCCATAATTTTAGCACTTTTGGGAGGCTGAAGTAGGAGGATCACCTGAGCCCAGGAATTGGAGCCTTCTGTGAGCTATGATTCACTCCCTCTTGTGGCCGACAGAGTGAGACCCCATCTCTAAAAATCAAAAAAACAAACAAACAAATAAATAAATAAAAGCTGTCCAAGTAATTGTAATGACAAGTAATTGTAATGTGAAACCATGATTGCAAATTACTGGAGAAAACCATTATCTGGGTGAAAAGGTTAAATTCTTAAGACTTTCTTATGATAATATGACAATATGGATAGACAACACAGGAAAGACAAAACATCTTGGCGAAGACTTAAGCTTTTTCACCTGATTTTCTCTAGATAGGATCTAGAATTTGTCTCTTTAGAAAAAAACAATATGAAAGATGACATAGCATTTTTGAAATGGCAGCATTTTAGGATGGATAATTGATTAATGGGGCAGCAGTCAGGTAAGAGGTATGTGATTACAATAGGGCAACATAGGGAATCCTTAGGGTGATTAAACTGTCCAGTGTCTTGTCTGTGGTGGTGGATACATGAACCTGCACAGGTATGAAAATTGTACTGAATTAAATGTACACATACACAATTGAGTACAAGTAAAACTGGGGAAATTCAAAAGATGTGTTAAGTGAAAGGAAATTGAATGAGGAGAGAATGTTTTAATTAAAAAAAAGATAAAACCTATTGAAACATAAAGAGCACTCAATTCCTGTGTAGAGCCTAGTTCTAGTTTAGAGATAGTGGAGAGCATCTCTTTTTTAATAGAGGTTCTTTTAAATTGTGGAAAATTTCTTCCTGATAAGCATCCTTTTTGAACCCCGTGAGGACTGAGCTTGGTTTCCCTTCCTAAAATGGCTCAATGAAAGTAGAAAGACGCTGCCCTCTGATATGTAAACCCTAGGCTTTAGGTGAAACCCTTTAAGCTCTATCCATGGCCAGTCACAATATTAGTTTATTCTGCTTCTTTCTATAAATGAGGCTGATAGCAACCTTCTTCACATGGTGTTTGTGAGGATTAAGTATAATCTGCTTTGTAACTAGGTAGATAAGTGTGAGTAATTGTTACTGTTTTTCTCCAGAATTTGTCCTTTTCCTTTTATTTTCTCTTCTACTCTAGTTTCTCCCTTCTACTCTAGCTCACAGTACTCTTCTCTGAGAATATTCTCAACCTATCTGTCGTCCCTCCCTGGCCTAATTCCCTCCCTGGCCTAATTCCATGTTGAATTTTCTATATTAAAAATTTCAGAAGTGCATGTGTGTGTAAACTCAAAAGAGACTATCTGTATAGCATTCTCTAACCCAGATGTCCTTTCTACTTCTGTAGGGGAAACCCAAGAAGAAGCTTATTGACAGGAAGAATACGGTAACTGATTTCTAAAAGTTGAGAAATTCTTTTTATGTGCATTGTATGTGACCATGCACAGACTAAGCATAATACTTTATATAACCATTTTCAGTTTGATTTCAAATTGGTAACATTTTTTTTTCTATTTGAACAGTATTCTGTGGATATTTTTACAAACTAAGTTTGAGATTTTCTTTATTGTAACTACAGGTATAACATTTCAACTAATAATAGTGGCAGTCATGTTTGGCTGTGTAAGAGAAACAAGAGTATTAATGAGATTTCAAGACTATTGTCATGTTAGATTTAAATTAGAGTTTGTGCTTTGGCCTTGGCACATCTGAGTCATGCAGCTCTGTTCCTTATGGGATTGAGCAGAACCTGTTTGCAGTGTGTCACAGAACTGAAAGTGTGCAAAGCATCAGTCACTTTTCATTTAGACAGAGGAAGAGCTGGGGGTGGTGGCTTTGTGTCACTGAAGACTGCAACCCCAACAAAACCCTTTACCCTAAACGCATGCCTTCTGGTATAGAGAGTTTGAGACATGACATATATCTCTTTTGTCCTGTACCTGTTTGAAAAACAATATAACAAGAAGAGAGAACCCCCTTATATCTCACTTTTTGTTTTGTATTTAAGAGTTAATTAAGATAAACTTGGATTCTCATCCAAAAAGAAGGAAAACATTATGACTGCCATTTAATTAAAACTGAAACAAATCAAGTTTCTAGCTTGTTTCCGAGTGAAAATCATAGTAATTTGTAAGTTTTCAATCAAAGAATATGCTTTTAGAATATAGCACTGTCGATCTGGAAATTGGAAAAAAAAAAAAAAAGGAAAAAAATCGTCAACACTAAGAATATATAAAAGTCACTAGATTCTGTTCTTTCTCCATTTTTTGGCACTCATTTTATATTGCCATCAGTTGGAGGTTTTTGGTGGTATAGAAGTGGAAGCAGATGAAAGCTGGCATGGGATACACCATATGCTGGAGCATAAAACAAGTCATATATTTTAAATGATCTGGGGTATGTTCTTTGACTCCAGTGGAACTGGATATCAGCATCAATTGAAAATCTTCAAATATCTGGAATTTAAACAACACATTTCTAAGTAATACATGGGTGAAGGAAGAAAACGTGAGGAAAATTATGAAATGTTTTGAACTGGATGATGATAATATGGCATTAAGAATTGTGGGATGCAGCTAAAATTGCTTTGAGGAAAATATATAGCTTTATTTGCTTAATTAGGAGACTGAGGACTGAAGTTTGATCCAATGTTCATTTTAAGAAACTAGAAAAAGCATTGTAACCCAAAGTAAGTAGAAGAGAGGAAATAATGAAGAGCAGAAAGCAAATGAATAAAAAGCAAACAATAAAGAAAATTAACGAAGTCCAAAATGTATTCATTGGTAAGCTAGCAGAATTGTTAAACCCTTAGACTGATCTAGAAAAGAGAGAGAGAGAGACCATTAATTACCAATATCAGAGAGAAAAGAGAGGATATCAGTATAGGTCTTACAGATATAGGACATCAATATAATAGGTCCAATATAGGTCCTATATATTGATATTCTCTATAGGATATCCTCCATAGGATATCAATATATAGTTCCAATATAGGTCCTGTGAGTACTAAAAGTAGTAGGGGATATTCAGAGAATATTATTAGAACCTTATTCCATCACTTTAACAACATAGATGAATTGACTAACTTCCTAGTGTGTGTGTGTGTGTGTGTGTGTGTGTGTGTGTGTGTGTGTGTGTATGTGTGGAGGGGGAAGGTGGGGGAAGAAACACCCAAACTGATATCAGCTAAAATAGAAATTTTAGAGTCCTATGTCTATTATGAAAATTAAATTTGTAACCAAAATCCTTCCTAAAGAGATAACTCCAGGCTTACTGGTTTCCCTGGTGAATTCTATCAAGCATTTGAGGAAGAATAACACCAGTCTTATACAAGCTCTTTCACAAATATAAGAAAGGACCCTTCCCTGCTCATTTTATGATGCCAGCATGACTATGATGCCAAAACCTGACAAAGACATTAAAAAAGAAGAAGAGGAAAATTACAGGCTAGTATCCCTTATGAATATAGGTCAAAATTTCCTAAAAGAATATTAGCAACCACATCTACCAGGATATAGGAAGGATAATACATATGACTGAGATTTTCAGTGATGCAGGGTTAACTTACCATTTGAAAATTAGTCAAGATAATTCACCACATTAATTAAAGGAGAAAAACTAGATGCTTATTTCATTAGATGCCAAAAGGAAAAAAAAAATCACGTGTATTTATGTGAAAAATCTCTTAACAAATCTGAAGGGAAGGGAATTTCTTCAGTCTGATAAAGACCTTCTAAGAAGATATTGCTATCATCTTATTTAGTAAAATGTCAGGGAAGATGTTTACTTACACCACTTTTATTCATATTGTACTATAATTCCCAGGCAGTATAATAAAGCAAGACGGGGAAAAAGAAATGCATACAGATTGGAAAGGAAGAAGTAAAATGTCTTTATTTTTGGATAACATGATCAGATTAGATAATTCTTAGGCATTTATAAACACAAGAAAATAGACGTACATGTAGCAAGGCCTTATATAAGATCGACAGACTAAAATCTAATGTATTTTAATATTAGCAGTAAATAATTGGAAAATGAATTGGAATTGATCTGAAAGAGATTAAAGAAGACCTAAATAAATGGAGAGATATGCCATGCTCATGGCTGAGAAGATGGAATAATTAAAATACCCATTCTCCTCAAATCGATTTAAAGATTTATTTCAATCTCAATCATTATTCTGGTTGATATTTTTAATAGAAACTGATAAACTTTTAAAAATTTGTATGGAAATGCAAAGAACTTAGAATATTCAAAGTAGTCTTGAAAAAGACTTAGAGAGCCCAGAAATAGACCCACATTTATGTGGTTATTTAATTTTCAACAAAAGGCCCATGGTAGTCGAATTGGGAAAATACATTATTTTTAACACATGGAACAACTGGATATCATATTTTCAAAAGTGACCCCCACCCCCTATTTTCCACAAAAATTCAAGGTGATTCATAGATATAAGCATAAAAGCGATTACTATAAGATTTCTTGAGGAAAATAGAATATTTTTGTGTTTGAGTTTGATAAAAATTTTTAGACATTTTACAGAAAGCAGTAAACAAACAAAATGAAATATTTCCTCAAGAGTAAAAACTTCATTATAAGATACTATTAAGGAAATAGAAATGGTTAGGGAAGTCATAGACTGATTAAAGGTATTCATCAAACATATGTCAAAAGGTTTGTGTCTAGGAAATATAAAGAACTCCTACAACTCAATAGTAAAATGACAGCCTAATTACACAAGGATAAAATACTTCAAGAGGGAGATGTATGACTAGCCAATATGCTCATGAGAATGTGCTTAATAACATTGGTTATCAGGGAATTACAAATTAAAGCCATGTTATGCCACTAAATGCCTAGCAGAATGGCTAGTAATACACTGACGACATTTAATGTTGGTGAGAATGTGGAGCTAACAGAACTCTGATAAGTTGTCGTTGGCAGCCTAAAGTGGTACAAGCACTTTAGGAAAAGAGATTGGCAGTTTGTTAGAAAACTTAGTATATTCCACTCTGAGATCTTTACCCAGAAGAAATGAAAAACATAATCACAAAATTACTTGTACAATTATGTTTATAGTAGCTTAATTCATAAGATTCCAAAACAGGAAACAACCTAGGCATCCGACAAAAAGAGAGTAGATAAACTGGATTATTCAGACAGTGGCCTACAACTCATGAATAAAAATGAATGAATACTGATACATACATGACTGACTCTCAAAAACTTGCTGAATGAAAGAAGCCTGACACAGAAGAGCTCATAGTATGTAGTTCTATTTTTATGAAATTCTAGAACAGGTAAAATTAATGCATGATTAAAATGTTCAGAACAGTGTTTTCCTTTGGTTGTAGGGAAGGGACTAACTGGGAATGGGTATGAGATCTTGCTGAGGTGATAGTAATGTTAAGAGTTTGGGTTATATAGCTCTTGGCATTTGTCAGAACTCATTAAGCAGACATTGAATATTTGTATATTTCACTGTATATAATTTTTAGCTCACCAAAAAAAAAAAATAATCCTATAAAACAAATACTGAACTCTAGATAGTATTGACATGCATGTTGACTTGTTAAGCAAAGTACACTGATGTCTGTCTGCAACTTTGAAATGCTTTAAAAATGAGATGGGTGGATAGAAGGATGTATGGTTTGATATGTATGTAAACAAATATAGTAAAATGTTAATTGTAGCAGCTAAGTGGTGAGTATGTATATGGATGTTCACCATATAACTCTTTAAGCTTTTTTGTTTAAATATTTTCATAATAAAATGTTGGAAAAATAAAATGAAATAGATGTAGCTAAAATGAAATGAAATAGGTGTAGCATTAAAATGTATAGGGAGTTCCATTGTTTATTAATTGACCAGTATCTATGATAAGTCAGCTATGTGCTGGGCAGTACTATGAACACCACGAGGCGTGGTGATGAGCAAGTGAGGCATGACCCTTGCCCTCAAGCTATGCTTGTTTACCAGATTCACACTCCCCTACATTCCCTAACCATATCCCTATACAACTTGGGATTTATCTCTTTGCTTGTAGTTGTTACTGAAAAATATCTCTAGAGAAGGACATTTGTAGTGGTTTCTCCATATCTCTGAGCTTTTAGCATTCATGTTTTCAGTTTTTTATTGATAATTTTTCCAAAAGAATGTTTTTTCCTGAAGAATAGAGTTCTTGGCACTTTAGGCAGAAACATTCTTGTTTACATAATAGACAATGGTTCATGAGTATAAACACTGGACTTTAATTTATTAGGGTATTGAAGTATTTTCCACTCATTCAATTAGAATAACCCAAAACATTAAGCTGTCTCAAATTTCATTAAGTCTTTAAGAGACATGTCTTGGAGAGAGGAATGTCTATGTGCTTTTAAGATAGAGATGTCAGTGTTTAAGCTATGCCCATGTTTGCGTATATAGTTATCAAATGTGACCAAGTTAACCAGACATTATTAAGTAAATGGTTTAAATGATTTCATTTTTCTATCTGATTTGTTTTTATTTTACTATTTAATTGGCTAAAAAAATATTTTTGTAGCTCTGTATGTGTATCTGTGTGTATATGATTTAGTCTTTGGGACTATGATAAGATTGGTTTGAACTATATTTAAAATTCATTGGTTTGCTTCCCATTTCTGCTTCCTGTGTTAGGACCATCCTGTTCTTGGCTCAGTGTTCTGCTCTGGAGCGAAAGTTTTCACAAGATTTACTGTCCACTCTACCCAGAAAGCCCTACCAGAAAGTCTTAAATAGACCAAATGACACGGCCTTCTGTCATAGTTAGAGACTGAAAACTCCTGGAGGAGTTCAGATGAGTTCTAGAGAGTTCATTCAGAGCCAACCAGTTAGATTTTGGGTTCTGAATATACAGAGTTGGCTGCATGTGTTCAGTTACTGATGTGGATACTATTTTTCTGACCCAGTGACCCCAGAGCCATTTCTCTCTTTGGTACTTGATTATGCCTGCCTGCCCTGTACTTCGCTCAGTCCTTGTCTGAACTGGGCCTGGTATCAGTCCCTTCCCTAATTTGTGATTTGTCTTACCTAATGTCTAATATAGCTGCTGCCAGCCTCCTTTTCCCATCCCATGTCTCATTCTTGACCTGATTGAATTTGGCCTTGTCCTGCATCTGATGCCTTCCATTGTCTGTGCCTCTGGCTCTAGCTCCTGACCTGTACTCAAGAGGCCAGTCACTGTCCCCACCTCCTTCTATAGCTAATTAGGACAAAAAGAGGGTAGGAGCCTTGACAGCTCCTCAAGTTGAAATGCTTGAGACTTGGTGAGTCCTTCAGTCTTGGTAATGCTCACTGAGATACCTCCCCTGTATCTCAGTCAGCTTAGTGCTGCCTACCATTTTCCGATTGTCAGCCATTCTTCCCCTCTTCCCAGCCTCTGCTAAATCTATGTTTACTAAATTTTGGTACATTCAAAAGGATGTTTATAACATGCTGAGTAGGTTATAATGATTAGCAATAAAATAGACTTTTGCCACCAGTAAATTAAGAATTAAAATGTTGTAATTTTGAAGATGTAAGGTATTGTATAGCACTTTGCAATCCTTGCAGTAGAGTAGGAGTATTACTTAATACTTACTGGTGCTTAAATGTTTGTCTTCAGTTATATTTTGTCCCAGAACATTAGTGAGGTTTAATGTAGGTCCCAGTATTCCCCTTTATCTATCAAACCTTTAGAATTCACTAGAGTTACCATGCCCAGAGGGCCTTCATTACAGAATTCTGTCAAGCTTAGCCTTGGAATAAAGGAGATAACTTTCTGAAGGCTGTAGCTACCATATTGTTTTTTCTCTAGAGTGACTGCTGATGGAGCACCAGAATTGAAGCTAGAGAGTATGAATTCAAAGGCCAAGCTGCATGCTGCTCTTTACGAGAGGAAGCTCCTGTCTCTGGAGGTGCGAAAACGTAGACGACGGAGTAGCAGATTGAGGACGATGAGGCCAAAATACCCAGGTACCTGCTGGGGAGCTTTCACCAAACTTTATTATCTGGGTCCTGCCAGACCGAGTTACCCAGCTGCTGACTCAATATTTATTGAATCAGAACCTACCTCATCACATGCATATATTTGTTTATAATATTTCCTTGAAGCTTAATTTCAAAAGGATTGTAAGTTTTAAAACCTTCCATTCTATAATATTTGCATTGAAGAGTGTCTGTAGCACACCCATTTTGGCTTTTGTTCTTATTCCAACATCATCCAAAAATACCTGATACTTTAGAAATAACATTAGCCTCATTGTAGTGAATTCCTGAGCATTACCACTCAAGTTTTTTATGATTAAGTAAGTCCAGTTCGTTCTTTGACGTTGCTAAATGGCAGAATATCTTAGACAAAGTGGAATTTCTCCCATGTTGCAGGTCTGTTGCTTCTTGACTGATAGACTGATTTCCGTTTTTTCTCTCTGCCCCTCCTTTGTTGAACACCTGTATTGGGCAGCATGTTAGTCACTGGGGTTTTGTTGGTGAATAAAAAGATATGGTCTCTGTCCTTATAGACTTTCAAGGCAGTGGAGAAGAAGAATAATGAATAAACAGGAGAGAAGGTACCTCCATGAACGGTGCTTTTCTAAAATCTCTAACGCACTGTAGAAATTACTAAGCCAAGGGGTTTTTTTCCTTATGTTGAGAAATGCATTGGTGTACTGAGAAATATCAACTATTGAAGGTCATTAATAGATTTTTAGAATATTTAAGATTAGAGAGTAAAATGTGGTTACTAATAATTTTGTACCTTGTTTGTAGTTTGATTTAGAAATAGTCTTTTTACTAAAAAGATAAAAGGAAGGTATTGGGAGAGAGGAAAATTTAATCCTTTTTTCAGCAACATTAGTGATTCTTCGCATTTAGTGATTACTCAACCAGCTGAAATGAATGTTAAAACTGAGACAGAGAGTGAAGAGGAAGAAGAAGTTGCATTAGACAATGAAGATGAAGAACAGGAAGCTTCCCAGGAGGAGTCTGCAGGGTCTCTTGGAGAAAATCAAGCCAAATATGCACCCCCATTGACTGTTATGGTAGAAAATTCACCCAAAGAAAATTCCACGAAAGTTCCTGAGTGGAATAATAAAGGTGAACAGAGCTGCAAAATTGAGACTCAGGAGCCAGTTCCTAAATTTAATCTGATGCAGATTCTACAAGAGAATGGAAATCTTAGGTATGTATCTTTTTAACTTGTATAACAGATAATAACTAATTTATTCTGTGTGCCAGGTACTATTTTAATGGCTTTATGGTCATTTTTCTTTTAATATTCACAGAAGTCCTATGAAATAATGACTATGTTCAGACCTTGCTACTATTAGGGAAACCAAGCCTTAGAGAAATTAAATAACTTGTCTAAGGTAGAGCTGCAGTACAAACTCATGTCTCATTGGCCTGACAAATATTTGTTGGGTATTTGTATCAGTCAGACAAGGAACTCAAGAAGCTCATGGTATTGTATGGCAGAAAGAGAGCTGGGACTGTGACCCCAGTATGGTACAGGAATACCATACTGGAGAGTGCTGGTATAGGTAAGAAAGACACGGAGTACTGTCACAGTCATTCATCTGGTCCCTCGGCAAGTTTTTGTTGAACATCTGTGCTGTGCCAGGAATTGTGCTAGGTCATATCACATTACTATGGGGACCAAGACAGGTTTTTAAAGCTTCAAATCAGTGAGGAAGACTAACAGTAAATAAAGAAACATGGTCATTTCAGACAATGAGAGATGCTGTGAGGACAGTAAGACGGTGCAATGTTAGAATGTAATTGGGCAAAGGGTTACTTAGGTTGTAGGGATCAGGCATATAGAGGTTACCTTTGAGGTGAGTTCTGAGTGATAAGGAGTCAGTCATATGATTATCAGGGATCAGAATATTCCCACAGAACATCAGGTTCGAGTTCAGTGTGTTTACAAAATACAGACTGGAGTGGTATAATTATGTGGGTAAGAAGTGAGACCGAACAATTGGATACTGTCAGATCATGGAGGTTAAGAGGAGCCTGGGATTTATTTACTAGATGATTTTTTATTTTATTTTTTATTTTTTATTTTTGAGTCGGAGTCTTACTCCGTCGCCCAGACTGGCCGGGAGCGGCCACTGCAGCCTCGACCTGCTGGGCTCCAGCGATCCTTCCACCTCAGCCTTCCGAGTAGCCGGAATTACAGGCACGCGCTACCATGCTCAGCTGATTTTTTGATTTATTGTAGAGATGAGGTCTCGCCAAGTTGCCCAGGCGGGTCTTGAACCCACGGGCTCAGGCAATCCACTCACCTCAGCCTCCCAAAGTGCGGGAGTACAGACTGAGCTACTGAGTCCGGCTACTAGATGATTTTTTAAACAGTTGAATGGTATAGTAAGATCTTGTTTTAGAAAGTAAATTTTGGTTGCACTATAGGATAGTGATTGATGAGAGAAGAAACTAAAGGCAGGAGGGTGAGTTAGGAACTGTTAGAACTGCCTAGATCCAGGAAGATGAAGGCCTTGATCAGAGCAATGGCTATAGGAATGGAGAGAATTGGAAGGACTTAGTGAAATTTGCAAAGTAAAATTGACAAGACTAAATTTTCCACTTTGGGCAACTTGGTGATGCCACCAGTCAATATTAGGAACATAGGAGTTGATTTCATGATAGAAATAATGGGTTTCATTTGAAACACAGTAAGGAAGAAGTACTTTGGCTGAAGTGCAGCAGACAGGTGAAAATATAGCTTTGTAAGTCAAGGTTGAAAAGGATTGTATATTTGCCAGTTAAAGCCTTCAGAGTGGGTGAGATTGTTCAATTCCACTTAGTTCAGCAAGTAGAAAAAAAGAGAATTGAGCCCTAGGGAATACTACTGTAGGTTCAATGGGTCGGTCAGTAAAAAGACCAAGAAATAGCAGTGAGAGATAGGCATAAACTGGGAGGGAGCAGTCAGAGGAAAGCAGCAAGATGAGTTTCAAGTCTGCAGAGTGCCTTAGATAGCACCTTAGGATGAGCAGTGAAAAGAGCCTCCTGGATTTATGGCCTAGGGCCAACTGAAGAGGCCCCAGAGCAGTTGTAAGCTGAGAAAATAAGAAAGCAAGTGTGACTAACTTTCAGAGGGTTTGGCTATGAAAGGAAGGTGAGAATGCATCAGGGAGAGAGCCAGCTAAGAGAAAGGGAATTTTTTTTTTTTTTAAGATAGGGATTCTGAAGCTTATTCATTGACTTAAGGAGAAGGATAGGATATGATGATCAGAGGACTAGAGATGCAGAAATGGATAGATTGATAGAGAAAGGTCTTTAGGGAAGGTAGAAAGAGGCCAGGGAGGGTTGTGTCTTCCTATAAGTCAAAAAGAAAGAACTATGGGATGAATGCAGTAGGTAGAAGTTGAAGAGCAAGGAATCTTAGGTGTTTATACATGGTAGCCTTTATTTTCTAAATTAGAGGCCAATTCTTATACTGAAAGGCTGGAGGGTGACATTGAAGTATGGGAGATAGTTAAGGTTTAGAACAGTGTTGTAGAGAATAAGAGTAGTTCCCTTAGTGAGAACATAGTGAATTCAGAAGACCCCTGGGCTCTGGCTGTTTCAGTGCTACCAACTGGCCATGTGGTCAAAGCAAGTCAAAGAACTTCTCTAGGCCTTAGTTTCCTTTTCTGTTAAGCCAAGGTCTGGGGTTAGACAAATGTTTTTTCAAAATACTTCCTGATAGGAAAAAATAGTCTGCTAAATTGAAAATAGAACATTTGAAAACCACTGGACTATATTCTGAGATTCTTTCCAGCAATAACATTCTCCTTAGTTGTTGTAGAAATAAATTGCTTCCTCACAAATCTTACGGATCTCGCTTTCAATGAGGAAACAGGGGTGTGTTCGTGTTCATCAGTGGTTTTCAGATTGTGTTCCCAGAAGCTGTCCATTGTTCTGTGGGTTTCTCAGCTACTAAGGGACTTGGGGAAGGTCATGGCAAGGGTTCAGGACTCTAGGCATGGCCTCCTATTATATATTTGATATACTGAGAAGCTACATAGCTTTTTGCTTTTTTTTTGAGTCAGGGTATTACTCTGTCACCCAGACTGGAGTGCAGTGGCACGATCATGGTTCACTGCAGTCTCAACCTTCTGACCTTGGCGATCCTTCTGCCTCAGCCTCCTGAGTAGCTGGGACTATAGGCATGCACCACCACGCCTGGCTAATTTTTAATTTTTTTGTAGAAACAATGTCTTACTATGTTGCCTAGTCTGGTCTTAAACTGCTGGGCTCAAGTGATCCTCCTGTCTCGGTCTCCCAAAGTGCTAAGATTACGGGCATTAGCCACCATGTCTGGCCAACCTGTTGCTTTTTAAAAATAGACTTCTTCACCGTAAATCATTCTGGCTTTCATTCTTTCATCTTTTTTTGGTTTGTTTGTTGCAAATGACTAGCTGGCCAATGTGTCCAGTATTTTAGAGACAGTCTCAGAATTAACATCCCAGGGATCTCATTAATAAGGTTTACAGAAATGGAAAACTTAGTGCTTGTTCATTTGATTTGCAACAAAACAATGATTAAATCTTAGCTTATGAACAATAATTTTCTTATTCAAAAGACCTGCATGTTTTAGTATAAAGGGATCAGTCAGTGAAATTGGGCATTCTACATTTGGAGGTGTCTGAAATATGCTATTTCCTGCTCCTTATATTGCAAATGAATTCATTGACCAAAAGTTGATGATTTTTAAAATGTATTCTGAGTTGAAAATAATGTGGAAGGAAAGCTTATGGGAATGGATGGGGGGCAGGTGGCATATGCTTTCTAGGTGAATAAGAATATAATTATTGTCTTTGTGGAGAAACATTTGAAAATATGAATTTATTGTTTCAAAGTCATAGTGTGCTCCCGTAAATTATCCCTGTTAGTAACATATCTAGCCTTATTTATAGTTCACGTTCTGAACCTCTTATGTATTAAGCTTTCAAAAGCAAATCTTAGCCTGACTTCCCTGCCCTCCAATTCTCCACCACATACATGGACGCTAATCTGGGGCCCTCTTAGGAGTTCCAGTTTGCTCTGGACAAATCCTTCATCCTAACCTGGGGGAACAGTGAGTGGAAAGCATTCAGTGATTATATGTGTGAGGATTGTAAACAGAATTTGTGTTGGGCCCTAATCCTCGCTGATGTAATTTTGGCTACAGTGTCAGAAGGCCGATCAGCTGAAGTAACCAAAATCTCGCCTGAAAGAAAACAGATCTGCCATGGTTAGCAGCTGAAGTGAAACTCATCAGTGTCTCTCTGGTACTTCTGTCTTCCAAACAATATAGCCTGATCAGATTTCCTTGTTTCCAACTTAGACTGCCAGGCCAAAAGTAGCTGGGTTCTTCATTGGTGTTAATGAGGTGCTTTCTACTGGATTTGAGGGTTTCTTTCTCCCCCTGAATGTCTGGGCTTGTCCTGGCCCATCATTTCCTCCATGCCAGTCTCTTGTTGGACTCACTCATTTGTTCTGGGTTCCAGCCATTCCCATCTTGTAGTTGAGAAAAGCATGGCCTTAAAATCTGGTCTTAGGAGTCCCTTTGTTGGACTTATTTGTTTCCCGCTTTGGATGCTTTTACGAACCAAAAATAGTAGTTGCCATAGCATGATCCATACTTTTGTACTGATAAGTATTCTTAAGGACTGCCAGTGCAAAAAACCTTTTCTCATTAATATAGTGGTTTTTGTGAAGATTCAATACTTCTCCTGACTGTTCCCCCAAGAAAGTTGTTTAAAAGTTCAGAGATAAGGGAATGAGTAAGAAACCTGATTTTCTATTCTTGTTTTCTCCCCCATGCTAATAATGAGAACATAAATAGGATTCTCCATCTCTGATTCTTTTAATGGAAATATTATTTTTAAAAACCTCATGTACTGTTTAGAAGGAATCTTTTGTAGTGGCTATAAAATGGGTTTCATATTTCTTAGCCATTTTAATAGAAGGCTCCTCAGAGGCTGCTTTGATAGAGGCAAGTACATATATGTTAGGCTTATAGTTCTGTCTCATAACGGTGTGTTGTTTTGGATTCCTATAGCAAAGTGCAGGCCCGAATAGCGTTCTCAGCATACCTCCAGCATGTTCAGATTCGCCTGATGAAAGACAGTGGAAGTCAGACATTCAGTGCCAGTTGGGCCGCCAAAGAGGATGAACAGATGGTGAGGCTATTCTTATTGGAACCGTCTTACTTTCCCTTTTTTTCTTTTCTTTTTGTCCCTTCTGTTAGGGTAAAGAACAGTAATTACGTTTCTAGATTTCTCTTACTTTAGTGTAAAGTGAATCTTTGATTTGGAGCTGTGTTCATTATACCATGTAGTGAGGGCATCAGTTTAGTTCATTTGGAAATGAAAATTGGTTGCTCATTGGATGTGAGGTCCTGTGCAAAACCTTTGAAAAGAATAACAACTTATAGTCCTTCTTCAAGCAACCCCACATCTTATTAACTCTTTGAGGTAGGCATTGTTATCCCTGTTTTACAGGTGAGGAAACAAAGGCCCAGAGAAGCCAAGTCTGCTAGCTTTCAGCTGGTATGTGGTAAAGGCGGAACTTGAACCCGGATGTTATCATTGTACATTATTTGTGCTTCCATGTTTTCATGCATCATAAGGTGCATATTTTCTGTTCTGAGGAGTCAAATTAGTTCTTTGAAAGTCAACACCCTCTCAGAATGCACCATCCTCCAGCCTAATATTGTTTCTTTACTAGTTGTAACTTTTTTCTTAGGGTACTAGAATCAAACTTGTGTGATAATTTTTACTTATCAGTCATTTAACATGCCTGGCATTTCATATTCTAGGAAGGTTTTTCTTTTTGGATCAGAACTACAGGGAGCTTCAAACTCTTTGGTAATGTCAGAGCTTAGAAGAAGCCACAGCCCTTGCTTTCTCACAACAGGGGTCTGTCGCCAAAAAGAGAGGGACCTTTAAGTCTAAATTAGCTGCATCCTTTATTCCACTCAGTGGTCACCTTACTGTAATTTTTAGTCTGCCGCATTACCCGTAAAGACCTGGTAGGTCATTATGCTGAGCTTATTATTATAAAAACATGTTGGTTATCCCAGAAAACAACTTACGAATTTAAAGTAGCTAATATAACTGAGAGATAAAAACTTGTGTATTGTGAATAATTCTTCAACCATCAGTGGAAAATGTTAGCTCTGCTCTTTCCAAGTGGAAAATTGAAACTGCCTTTTTGAGAGTCAGTTTGTCTGCTCCACGGTGAAAAAATAATATTTTAATATAACAGCTTAAACTACCCTATAGTAAAGACAGCAGAGTAGAACTGTGAAATCCAACCCTCTGGTTATGAGGCTGTTCCATTTATGCTGGAGCAAATTGGCACCCAAGGACAATGAACCCAAATCAAATTCAAGAAGAAAAAAATAGTCCAAAAGAGAATAACCCCTTCTGATGCTGGCTTAGAATTCACACAGGATTACTGTAGAGCTTTCTACAACAATACTGAGGATCATTCTTGCAAAACCTAAAGCCAGCTCTATGAATTCCTTCTTGAAAATATACAAAGAGGACCCCCCAAAACAGGAATTTGTTTATAAAAAATTATGTATTCTTACATGTGTAAACTTCAGTCACCTTTAAAGTACTCTTCATTTGATGCAATACATCTATAGAGACACTTTTGCCACTGCTCAAAACAGTTTTTGAACTCGTCCATTTTGATGCCTTTTAGTGCTTCTGCCATTTTTTGTTTCATCTCTTTCACATCGGGGCAGTGTTTTCCTTTGAGGACTTTTTTCATCTAAGGAAACAAAAAAAAGTCAGGAGGGTGAGGTTACGAGGGTCATGCTGTCTTTGGTCAAAAACTGTTGAACACTCAGTGAAGAGTAGACAGGTTGTTCATGTAAATCGCCCATCATGAAATGCAAATGTGTTGAAAGAATCTCAAAAAAAAAAATTCACTGAAGCTGAACTGAACACAGCCTCTTATGACAATACTAGCTGGCATACTGATGCTGATGGGTTTCTAGAACACTTTCCTAGTGAGGGAAGCCTGTAGTACAAGGGGCTCGCCCTCCAAAAAAAAAAATTCTGGTTTTTTTGGGGGGGTCTTTCTTGTCTCTAGAGCAAGTCCTTCCCCATTTGCTCGTGGCTGTGGCAGTGGTCTTGCTTAAGAGGAAGGTAGTTGTAGAGTTGTCCTCTTTGGTCTGGATTAGGGTTAGAGTTTCTGTATCTCACAACTCACATAAGGCACAGACATCACCAGACAGTCCCCAAAACTTAACATCTTTAGGCAATTTTATTGTGTTTATGGGGCAACAACATCTGTAAGGCCCTTAGTGTTAAAAAAAAAACAAAACAAAACTCTCTGAAGTATTTATGATATCAATCATCTGATTTTTATCTTCAGTTTTCAGAATTCCTTGTCCCCATCTTAGGTGAGATGTATTATTTTAAATTTCCCTTAGTGACCTTCCACTGTGCCCTTCTTGCCAATCCTTAACTCTAAAAACTTCCTTATCCTTGGAAGAGAGGAAAAAAAAAAACAAGCCATCACCTTTGAAGCTACTATGGCAGTTCTTTCTGTCACTAAACTTTTTTTTTTTTTTTTTTGAGTTGAAGTCTCACTCTGTCACCCAGACTGGAGTGCAGTGGCCGCTCTCGGCCACCACAGCCTCGACCTGCTGGCTCTGGTGATCTTTCCGCCTCAGCCTTCCGAGTAGCTGGAACTGCAGACGTGTGCTACCATGCCTGGCTAATTTTTGATTTATTGTAGAGATGAGGTCTTGCCAAGTTGCCCAGGCGGGTCTCGAACCTGCGGGCTCAGGCAATTCACTCACCTCAGCCTCCCAAGGCGTGGGATTACAGGCTGAGCCCAGCCTTTTTTTTTTTTTGAGTTGGAGTCTCACTCTGTCGCCCAGACTAGAGTGCATGCTCACGGCCACCGCAGCCTCAACCTGCCAGTCTTAGGCTAAATATTTTGATTTATTGTAGAGATGAGGTCTTGCCAAGTTGCCCAGGCTGCCCTCAAACCCGTGAGCTCAGGCAGTACTCTCACCTCAGGCCCTCAAAGTGCTGGGATTATAGGCTTGAGCCACCGCACCCAGCCCACTAAACTTTTTAAGTCGGTAGTTTCTACTCTGCCTGTATTCCTCATGCCCCTGCTTTTCCTAACGTCTTCCTTGTACCCTCTGTATTAAAAGCATTCTCTTGAGATGATCCCACAATGGCCAGGTCCGGGACCTTGTCTGTGCAGTGATCCTTTCCATTGCCAGCTTCTTGGAAGACCTTGACATGGTGACCTTCCCTCACTTGGCCTCTATGACACTGTTTTCTCCTGGGTGTCTTCCTACATCTCTGATGTTTCTATCCTGTTTGTTTCTGATGTCTCCTTTTTTTTTTCTATCTCTAAGTATGAATATTTTCGCATTCTTTTTCTACCATCTCACCTTCGATGATTTCATTTGCTCCTGCAGTTTTGGTTTCCGCCCACTGTCATGAATGCTACTTTCCCTAAATAACTCTGTCTGACCACCCCACAAGATACGATGACTGTTCTTTAAATTATTATTGTACTATTTGTGTATGTAGTCTGGCACTTTCATAACTGCTACTTTATTACGTAGTTATTTGTATACATATTTGATTTTTATTTTCTGACTGCTAGCTTATTGAAGGAAGAGAATAGTTTGTTTTTTTTTTTAATCTTTCTGTGGCCTTGTATCTGTCATGTTTGTTCTGGGTCTTATTTGATCATACTGTGCCTGTATGATCCCTTCAGAGCTTGTCTTCTGTTACTTAACACAATCCCTGCTTTTTTCTCCCTTAACTCTTTGATTTATAGGAGCTGGTAGTCCGTTTCCTTAAGCGAGCATCAGGTAACCTCCAGCACTCGCTGAGGATGGTATTACCCAGCCGACGATTGGCACTTCTAGAACGCAGAAGAATCCTGGCCCACCAACTGGGTGACTTTATCATTGTATACAACAAGGTAAGTGGTGTATTTGTTAGTCTTGTGCTTTGGATTGCCATAGACTGTCAGAAACAGTTAGAAGTGTCTGTCTAACTGGGTGGAAAGATTCTTCTTCTGTTTTCTAGCATCATTATCCCTATGCTTACTGTTAAAGGAAGCAGGACTCCACCCCTTAAGTCAGCAGAGCTGAAAAACTATTTCTTACTGCTGAAAACCTAGTGGCCGCGGTTAACTCTTATCAGAAGGCACATTTCTTTTGAGCTTTGTTGCACCTGTGATGAGTACTGGCCTCTGTGACTCTGTGTTGTTGTTATTGTGCCTGTAAACAACGATGAATTGCCCATTTCAGAGCAAATTTGAACTGTAAATTTCATATGATGAATTAAATCTCTTTTTTGAGAAAGTGATACTTTCTTCTCTGAAGGATTTTATACAGTGACATCATTTTTCAATCAAGCTCAGGAAATATACTATTTCATTTAGGATATTTTGCAAAGCATCCTAAATCCAGGGGCCTCAGAATGCATTAAAAACATAATTTTGAAGGTTGGTGTGGGGATTTGGTCAGTTTGTAGAAGGAGAAGTTGAGACCTAGAAATTTAAGTGGTTTTTCTAAAGTTGCATGGAATAGTTAGTAGACTATCGATACACCAAATCCATATCCACAGTTTATTCCAGTTCTGCTGAGAATTTTTTTTATGTTGTATATACGTGAAGAACCTATTCAGTTTGGAAGCTGGTATAAGAGTATCTTACAAGACCTATCTGTTCTTTCCTAATAGAACAATACTGTGTCTCTGTTGTCATATTGTTAAATATATGTGTAGTCACAGATAGTACTAAGCTTCTATAAAAAGCTCTTTAATCAATGGACCATCTACGTAGAAAGTAAAAACATGATAAATATTTACATTTGTTCTGCAACTTTCACTTGGGAATTTCAGAATGTTTCACAAAATAATGGCCAAAAGTAATATATCAAATTTATATTTGTCAAAAGTACATGGAATAATTTTTTTTAATCGTCCTCTCTTGCCTTACATGGAATAATTAAATGTCTTTACTCTAAGGACTAATTAGCTCAAAGGTAATGAAACCAGATTAATGAAGTGTACATTTATCAGAGTTAGTTTCATCTTGTTATTTTTCTATGGGGCTTTGGCACGGGGCAGGAAACAGAACAAATGGCTGAAAAGAAAGTGAAGAAGAAGCTAGAGGAAGAAGAGGAAGATGGGGTGAATACAGAAAACTTTCAGGAGTTCATCAGACAAGCAAGGTAGGAGACAATCTTTTTTTTTTTTGAGTTGGAGTCTCACTCTGTCGCCCAGCCTGGAGTGCAGAGTGGCACGCTCACGGCCACCCCAGTGTCGACCTGCTGGGCTCCAGTGATCCTTCTGCCTCAGCCTTCCTTCAACTTTCCAAAGAGTTCTCTCAGAACTCTTTGGAGTTCAGTAGCCAGAACTACAGGTGCGCACTACCACACCCTGGCTAATGTTTTTGATTTATTGTAGAGATGAGGTCTCGCCAAGTTGCCCGGGCTGGTCTTGAAACCGCCGTCTCAGGCAATCCTCTCACCTCAGTCTCCCAAAGTGCTGGGATTACAGGCTAAGCCACTGAGCCTGGCTGATAGGAGACATTCTTAATAAAAGCCATTTTATTCCATCTTCCATACTTCCCAGTGAATGAATGAAACCACTGAAAGCTGGACAAGGTGGCACACACCTGCAATCCCTGCTACTTGGGAGGCTGAGGCTGAAGGATCCTTTGAGCCCAGGAGCTTGAGGCCAGTATGGGCAGCATAGCAAGACCCCATCTCTAAATGAAAAAAAAAAAAGAGAGAGAGAGAAAGAAAGAAAAGAAAGTAAATCACTCTCAGAAGGAGAAAAGGTTTCATAGGTTTGGTCTCTTTATGTCTCAGCCAACATGTTGCTGTTGTCACAACTTCATTTATTGAAACAGCGCTGCTGGGTGTCTGGGCTGTAGTTCTAGACAGCCTTCAAAGTAACCACCACTCGAAGTTCTGAGAGAACTCTTTGGAAAGTTGAAGGTAGAGGTTTCTAGTGTGTACTGGGCCTAAATTTATCCCTGGCCTCCTGATGCAGTGGAGATGACAACACTTTGCCTACAGTAAGTGGATTGAAGAATTGGCATGCTCTCAATCTGTGAATTATGCCTAATTTATATAAAATAGAGCAAGTCCTTCATACTTAGGCTTAATCTTTAGAAATTGAGAATCTCGGTATTCGGTTCTCTATCTTAATACAAGTCAGCCAGACCATTTGACCCATTTGTATTGTTTCCAAAGGAAGAGATATCAAAGGCACTTGATTTTAAATCTTGTAGAACTCACACTGGGGGCCTTTTTCGAACTAGAGGGTTGTGCAAAGCTACTAAAAGAAATGATAAACAGATATAGTCTCCATTATGTAGATTTCAACCATCCAAGTCACAATAGGGGGAATATCAGAAAATCAGCTCTTTATGTTCATTTGTGAGGTTGAATGAGGCAGGGAAGGGGACTTATAGCATTATCTTTGCTTAATACCTTGAACAGACCCCACTTATGCCTGTGTACTTAAACATATAGCAGACAAACACACCATTTTGTGGGAATCTATAATTGTATGATGTTATTTTGTTGACATCCTTGAGTCTTAAGTAATATGATTGATAAAACAGGTGTAGAAACAAAGTAAGAAACCATTTTTCATATCAACATTATAAAAGCAGAAAAGGAAATAAAACTAGATTATGTTCATAAAAATAGCTCTACTTTTTTTTTTTTTTTTTGAGTTGGTGTCTCACTC